ATTCCCGCGAAAATCGTCTCGGTTGATTGCATACGTGCTATAGGGCTGTCAATCAAGAGGTAAACTTTTACTTCCGGTGGAAACGTAAAACTGCCATTTCTCCGCCAATATTTAGCCTTTTTCAAAAAATTTTTTCAGAAATTAGAGATTATTCTTCGACCACTATTTTGACCCCAAAATCCAAATTTGAAGAAAATTGCCGACCCGAAGGTATACTGTAACCTTAAGGTGCTCATTTCAAGCTTGTTAAATAAATTTTATTCCAGTAGTATTCCTTATAATGATTCAGATTTACTAACCTCTGGCTTCAGAGCTGGTTCAGAATCATTAAGTCCAACAAGGAACATCATTGGCTTTCCTCAAGGCTAACTTTCTGCTGCAAAAATAGGTGATTGATTGCTTCAGGATTTTTTCTTTTCTTTTTCTTTTTTCTTTTTTTTTGGATAAAACGGGGGGGGTCTGGCTGTTATGAATGTTTGGGTGATCCTTTACGAAGTTGTAAAATTTTTATGACTCCATCCAAAAGCAAATTTTCAGATAAACTATTTATAGCATTGTTTTTATGCAAGGTTGGCAAAAGTCATGTACAAAATACTAACTTGTTAAAGTTTGGATTTGCAGGCAAGTTGCTAGAGAGATACATGTAGAGAACAGGATCAAGGACTGTGGACCCAGGACTCAGGATAGAGGACCAGGGAACAAAGACAGGACTGAGGACTGAGGACTGCGGATCAAGGACAGTGGATGAAAGCAAGCCTCAGATGACCAAGAACTTTCACAGCGATGAATTGTAGATATTTTAAGCTAAGGTATATGAGATATTACCGCTAGCAGAGATGTCACAGTGGAAGAGGGCTCGCCTCTCACTAATGTGCCATATGTGAGTTTGTTGTTAGTTCTCACCTTGTCCTGAGGGTTTTTCTCTGGGTACTCTAGTTTCCCTCACTCCTGAAAAAGCAACATTTTCAAATTCTAATTCAAATTGGCTTCCTCTCTTAATATCATTGTTGACAAGTGTTTACCAGTACTCCTCATTTAATGTAATTCAACAAATTAAATTGGCAACACATTGCTTCTTGTCGATTGAAATGAAAGATACATTGATTACTTGAGGTAAACATTTGTTTGCAATGTAATACCAATACTCACTGTTTATTTCCTAGTTACATGTGCACTAAGTGCTATAGATTTCATAATCTCCTTTGCAGCTGTTATTTTTGTCAATAAGCAAATTGGAAAGAAGCTTTTTTTAATTTTCCATTTCTTTCAAAAATCTCCTTTTAAATTATAGGTAAAAGGGAAATTCCTGCATCCAATCAATCAATCGATCGATCGATTGATTGACTGATCAATCATTCATTCAATCCATTCTGTTTATCAGTCAAATGAATCAATTAAACAATCAAACTTAATGTCTCAATCAAAAAGTTCTTACATTGTATGCAGCTATAACTAAAATAGCAATTACTGACCTTTAAATTTATCTAGTTGCAATTTGAAGATTTTTAACAGACATAAATTTCAGTTAATGCAAAACTCTTTTCTCCCCACTAACCTTTCAGGCACCAGTTCCCAAGCTCATCTGTTTGTGATGAGTTTAAATATCACTTTGATCCACAGGTTTTGTACCCATATAAACAGAGTATTGAACTGACCAATGTGTTGTGGGTGCTGTTCATTTGTAAATAAGTGGCTTGCTTGCAAATTCAGTCTGTGGTTATTCTAAGACTTTTTATTGTCACATTAATTATTATTTTTGAAACCAAAATTGCTCTCGATATCAGAGCAGAACATTTTGCCTGTAACAATCATTACTGACTACAAATTAATTGAGACTCGATTACGGTAAAATCTGTTTCTGATCATATAAAATTTTCAAGTTTGATAGTTTTTTATTTTATTTTCATGCATACAGGCATAAAACAAAGAATTGTTCAAAATTGCCTTAAAAGGTAGAATTTTTGCAATTATTATTGTTTAATTCAGAAACAGACAATTGATTGCAAAACCCAGGCAGAAAATAAACTAAAATACATTTCAATTAGAAAAAATGTCAAAAGTTATTTCTGTCGAGTTATAAAACACAAGTGGAAGTTTGGGAGAATGAGAAATGCTGTGGGAACATGAGCCGACAGGCAAGTGTTTCCACAGCTTTTTTGAGTTTCCCCAAACTTTCACTTGTGTTTTTATAACTTGGTAGAAACATGGAGAACATGTTTTCTACTTCTTTCAGAAAATACCGAAAATGGAAACAAAAAAAAAAAAAAAGAAAGAAAAACAACTTGACATGTTTATTTTGATCATCAAAATTTAAATTCTCTTTGTCTACACCCTCATTATGTCAACAGCTTGTGCTAGTTGTGTGTTTCTATCAAGTTATAAAAACACGAATTTTAACGAATCAGCACATGGATTTTCTTTTGGGCTATTTTCTAAATATTTTTTCCATGTGTACCTAGACATTTTGAGGTACACATTCAAAATTCTCATGTTTAAATTCTAGGCCATTGGAGTCTCTTAAATGCAAAAGTAAAATTATTCCTACAGAGTTCTAACGACATTTTAATTTTAATTGCAAAAGAAAAATTGACTTTACATTAATGTTTTGGTATATGTATGGGCGTTTTGGTGTACCACTAAGGCAGTTGCATCATACTGCAGCATATAATCATTACAGTAACTCGATTTTACAGAAGCCACTTATTTGCTCATGAAAACTCTAGTTCCTCCTCCTCCTCCTCCTCCTCCTCACAAGATTCCTATTGAGCAGCGTTATGGTGAAATTTGTATTTTTTTTTTTCTGACATTGTTCACCTCCTTTCCTTTGGTTATCCTTGGGGCTCTTAAAGTGAGTTTTGACTTAAGAAATATTAAATTTTGCCAATTTTGTGAAAAAAAAAAATTATAATACTTTGCACTTAAAATACCATTGCTGGAATGTTATGTTACTGTTTTTGGTTTGTTTGATAAGAATTTTTCCTGTTTTCATTTTCCAAAAAATACCTTTTGTAATTTAAATTAACTTGTTTTGGGAAAGTAGCTGCTCAACAGGAATTCCAAGAGTTATTTTTATTAAATAAAGAGCATTATGTACTTGAAACTACATTATCACCTTTAAACAAAGAAGGCCTCCCAAAACTACCCTTTTGTGGTAATGTTACACAGCTATACTAAGTAAATTCAATTGGCTGATCAAGAAATTACTTAATTAAATACAATACCAATCTGCAGAAAAAAATTCACAATTTTATTCAATTAATTTATTGTCATACAAAATTATTATTTCGTACATGATCACTTTTGAGCCTACGTCCTCTAAAATAATTTATTCAAAGTAAACTCGAGTGTCTCATTAAGAAATTACTAACACGATACCAATTGGTAGGAGTTAAACAATCTTATTCAATTTATTCATTTTCATACAAAATTTTTCCCTACACGATCAGTTTTACATGTAAATGTCAAATTCTGAGTTTAGTTTTTGTAAAATAATTTCATTGCCTCCTTTGTTTTAAGGTGCCACCGCAAGCTCATTAGCACAGAAGTATACAATTTCTAGTTAACTCAGCTAAGAAAACACCACAAATTGTGGTGTCATAAAGTTCTCCACATTAGCATTAGCACAAAGGTGATAAAAAATAGACCAAAGGTGGGGTAGTCAGAAAAACTGGGGTGTATAAAAGTCCCTTCAGATCTTGTGGACTTTCCTAGTCAGCCATAATATTGGCATCATTATAGTACATGTATCTTAGAAAGAAAATTAACCCTTACACTTATTTTTGTTAGGGTTTCAATGCAATAGTTTTAAGCAGTTTAAAACCACTTAGGAAATTGTTCTTGTTAATTCTACTTTCTCCAGTAAAGTCTTAGGCACAACTAAGTATATATGTAAGTATTATTACTGTTTAAGTATCAGTTCAGTAGCAGATCTAGTTAGAGTATAGGTTTTGTTTTACTCAAGTGGATAGGTTTTTTCCTGTGCTAATGAGCTTGTTAATTTTTTCTTTTTAGTTTTTATACTTTCCACTGAACTTAGTATATTTTAGATTATTTTCAGGAACTGAGATGGCCCATACACCCGCACACAACACAAAATGATCAGATTTAAATCTAGCCGATCGATATCCCTGCAGAGTTGTGGAAACTCTTGCTCTGAGGACGGTGTTTCTGACGTTCCTCTGCAATATTCCAACTGAGAAATCCTGGTGAGTTTATCTGTTCCGCTCATTTTTGATGAAGGCATTTGGACACTTTGATGATGTGGCCGTTTGCTCTCAAGTGGAGAAGGCATTACGAGGGAAGGTGAGAGTTTGCTTTTCATGTCTTTTCGGCTTTACTTGACTACGTCAGAATACCACACCTTAATTTCAATTGGCTTCAAAGATGTTTGTTTTCAAACATCTCTGGAAACTTTCTGTTGTTGAGGACGTAAAACAGTAGTGCTTTGGTGCAGGTCATGGGCAGTACATTTCCAGGATGTTGGGGTTAGTTTAGAACAATGAGGGTCACTGAACTGGCTTGACTGGAATTTCATAAGCGACACTAGATTGAGCGATAGTCACCTGGGATTCTTCTGAAAGAGCTGATTCTCGTTTAGGGCTTTTCTTAATTAAGAAAAAAAATAACTTTCCTCTTGTTTTTCTAATATTAAGAACAAATTAGATATTAAATAAAAATAAATTAGTCACAATTATCTTTAGAACAGAATTTATTAACACCATCAGTCCACAGTTCAAAGAAAAATTAAGAGTACTGACAGCTTAAAATATAAATTACAATTATCTAGAATTACAACTTTGGCTTTCTTTCTGATTAACTCTAGGAATTAGTTAACCTAAAAGAACTCAAAAGCAGGCTCCCGTGCTGGCGCTACTTGAGTTGTCACGCAACACTTCTTCCCGGGGTGTTGCGTGATTATACAAATAACGCTTTTGAAGGAGGCCTTGTTTTAGGAAATTTTAATCTTAGCAACTAAACATTTATTTAAGTTTTTCGTGATTTAAGTTTAAAACATAGGTGAGTTGTTCATTTTGACTAATTTAACTAAACTGGTAATAATTTTTCGTAACCAATCATATCAATAGTTCGATATTAATTTTGTAAGCCGATTGTTTATCTTGTGTTCTTTAACTTAATCTTGAAGTAGGGATTTAATTGGATTTGCTTTCACTTAGGCCAATTGTTCATTTTGATTTCAAAAACTTGAGACTTTAATTTTTGACTAAGTGCATGACTGTAAGCTAATTATCAATTTTGTATTGCAAAACTTTAAATTCAATTTACAAAACCAAACATATATTTCGTTTTGTTTTTTTATAAATTTCGTAGGCCTATTGTTCATCTTGACTTCCAAACCAAACTAAACCTAGAAAACGTTTCTCATCGTTTTTTTCTAATACTAGTTCAACTTCGTTGTTATCCTCGGGGATGCAGCGGCAGTTAATCAAGACGAGACGAAGTAAACCGAGCGGTAAAACCTTTCGTCGGGTCGATTTTGCCGCTCGGTTTTCGTCGACTCTTCCGACTAAGTGCCCTGAGTTTCCGAGGATCATTCGTTGTTCAGTGTAATTCAAAGCACAAATAAATTTCAAAATTCCACCGTGTTTGCATTTTTAAGACTATTTACACTGTGAATATTTAATAAGATTTACTTTGAAGGCTGCGCGCGTAACAATTAAACTACGATTGTTTCGAAAATACATGTACGTCTCTTTTTGAACAGAAATAACACTACATCGATTCTAAATAACTGAAATTTAATATCAAAACAAACTTAACGCAATTCTAGGTGATGCGAACGGACAATAATCGCGCCCGTTTGCTTTCGCGTTAGTATTTATTTACTTAAGCAAAATACGCTTAAAGGTGGAAACAACTTGACTATCATCGCTTTAACTTTGATCTT